GAAGAATGACTTCTGGAGGCAAGGAGGCAAGTGTGGGAGGAGGGTTATGGCAGATCCAGGATTCTTGCCAACTTTCCATCTAGGTCGCGCCTCTAAGTACTAGGAATCAATCGTCTGGGGGAAACCTTGAATTCTGCGAACTTGGCTCTTGGTTGGGCTGATCAGGATGGCAAAGCTTCCCTCCTCCGGTAGGGGGTTTGCTCCTGCCGGGGTACTTGTCAGACATAATTTTCCCAGTAAGTAAGTCTGACCCACAGACTTAGGATAGCTTCTTCTGGGCGTCCGCGTGTGTGTTTCTTTGAAGCAGTGGAGAGGTAATTTTTGGAGTCAAACAGGACCATTCTTAAAACGCTGCCCCCCCCCCCCAGCTGACGCAAATCATGTCCACGTTCCAAGACCCAGTTTCTACCTCTACAAAGACAACCCCCTAGAATTGTTGTGATAAGCACCTTCGATAATATTGTAGGCATTCCTGGCTGTGTGTCCTTGGGGGAATCACTTAACCTCTCCCAACCTGAGTATCCTTGTGTACCAAATGCGAGTGGTGGGGGGGGGGGGAAGGGGGGGCTGGTTATTCAAGCCATTTCACAGGATTGTTTGGATGATTGAAATAACGAACACAGAGACAGTGCTGAGCACAACGGCTGGCACATGGAAAGTCCCCGGCAAAGGTCGCTTCTTTTTACTCTTACGACTACTCTGTAGAAACCGAAACTCAGTTTCACACAGTGAATTGGACAGCTGGCGCTGAAATATAAATCGGGCTTACAGGGCTTACAAAGACCCCTGATGGGTACGTACCATTTTGTTTTAGGAACATGCAATTCGGTTCTGATCTATGAATATTTAAATGTACATTACGAGCGTCTTGAATATTTGTCACATTTTCAGTTAGACCTGGAGGTAGCGTTAGATCTCCTAATCAACAAACATTGCGATAATTGATGTTCAAGGTCTCCCGGGGCTGAGCCTGCAGTCCCCACGTGACCTGAAATTATTCCCAGGCCATAGCTGATCTCAGGCCATAAATCCATCATAGAAGCTCATCTGCATCTTCTCAGAGGCCTTCGGGGTAGCCTTGACTTCTGGTGTTTTTCCAAAACGGGGCAGGAGTTTGTATTGTGGGGAGAATCTGTCTTTCTCCCTCGGTCCTGGCCTGTGTCTTTTTATCCAGAAAAGCTGTTCAGCAGGCCATTCGTGCTTCCCCATCTGGAAACCTGGCAGACAGGCCGGCAGACATGAAACCGGGACAGAGAAGACGGCAGAACTCTTCCCCAGATGCGGGCAGGCAGAGAACAGCCTGCGGACAGCTCGACATTATTTAAATAGGTAGTTCGCGTCTCCACCATTGTGGCAGGAGGCCCAGTACTCAGCGGTGCAGCACTGACCTCCAAAAACTCTGCACTGTCACACTTTGCCCCTAAACTGAGTTCGTCTCTGCCCCTGGCCGCTTCCCTGTCCCAAGGTCCCCACCTGGTCTCTCATTTTTCTTCTCTGCCTTTAGTGTCAACCCCCTTCTCCCCACTGTCTGAATTTCCACAGTGAGTGCTTCCCAGCACAGCCCTCTGGAAAGACCAAGGATAGCACCAGGCACAGAGGAAGTTCTGATGAGGGTCTGTTGAAAGACTTAAGAAACATTCTAAAGCCCTGTGAACTCTGGTATAAATGCCTTAGAGGAACCCAAAGGATTATTCTGGGGAAAAGAGAATTAGCGGGAATCGAGGCTTCACTCCAAAATACCGAGTCTCTCTTGGGGGGACTTGAGCCCTCCTCAAGCCGGGTTGGGGGAGAAGTTTGGCGGAGTGAAGGAGGCCGGGTCACCGTGTCTCACACAGTCTCCCCAACACCGGCTTTTCCGGTTTCTGTCTTGGCCAAGACTTTTGCAGGCGTTCTTTCATTCGGTCCTCACGGTGACTTGGGTGAGGCTCCGCACGGCCTGGTAAGGACAGGACAGGCGCAGACCTCAACAAAAACTCTTCCCCTGCATGCTTCTTTGTTGGACGGCGGCAGATACAGGAGAACGTTTTCTGTCTCTGCTTTCGGGGCAACAGGCCCGAGACAAGCCATTTTCCAAAGGCCACTTCCCAGAGAAGGTTCCTCCCTGAGGATCGTAAGGGGGGGACTCAGTAACTGCCTCCGAGCCGGGCCAACGATGATCCAGGTTGTGAGACAAAACTGAGCCTCCGGCCTTCACGGGGTTGGTGAGGAGGAAAGGCTGCCTTCCGACGTGGGGAATAGACAGCCTCTGAAGCAGGGCACCCCGAGGTTCTCAGGGAATCTGGGCCCAGGGCTTCCATGGGGTCCCGTCATAAGCCACCCAGAAGCCTACGGGCTTGGGTCCTTATCCTCCCGTAGGCCCCTTCAGGAGCATCGCACAGGTGCCGGAATGGGGAGCAGAGCCTCTGTTGTGTCTTTTCATCACCAACCACTTCCTTTTCTTAATGTTTATTTATTTTTCAAGAGAGAGAGCACACGAGCAGGTGAGGGGCAGAGAGAGGGAAGAGAGAGTCCCAACAAGGCTCCCCGCTGTCCGCACAGAGCCTGATGCAGGGCTCAACCCCATGACCCTGGGATCGTGGCTGGAGCCAAAGTCAAGAGCAGGACGCTCAACTGACTGAGCCACCCAGGCGCCCCCATCACTAACCAATGTTAACGACTGGTTTGAATCACTCGAGCCATGCCAGCCCTCCCCTGCTCCCCCGCACCCCTCCCCTCTACAGCCACCCTCACCCTTCTTCTCCCCTGCCTGCTCCGTGTTTGTGATTCTGCAGCTTGTGGCCAAATGTTTAAGTGACTCTTGTCAAATAAGGTGCTTTCAGAAAAGATCGAAAGTTGCCAGGAGGGAGGGGAGGAATGCCCAAAGCTCTATTCAGTTGACACCTTCAGCCTGAGGAGGCTTGGTTCCTGAGGGCGATGGTGGATGTGGGGAGATGATCACTCACTTGGGTTCTGGAAATTTCATGGGCGGGGAGTTTCAGGGTCCTTTCTGGGTCTAAGCGATGGGCTCTCCCAAGTCAACTCGGTCATCAGTCATCCGTTCGTTTGTTCTTCTGTTAAACATCTAGACCCCTTGTGTCAGGCACTGTGGGGACTTCAAACTAAAGATCAAGCTGTCCCTTAAGGATTTTACCTTCTACTGGGGGTTATAAGTGAGACCTAAGTATCTATACTACAAAGTGGTGTGTGTGTCAGGGCACCTGGGCGGCTCAGTCGGTTGAGAGACCAACTTCGGCTCGGGTCACGGTCTCACGGTCCGTGGGTTCGGGCCCCGCGTCGGGCTCTGTGCCGACAGCTCGGAGCCCGGAGCCTGCTTCAGATTCTGCGTCTCCCTCTCCCTCTGCCCCTCCCCGGCACAGGCGCTGTCTCTCTCTGTCAAAAATCAAATAAATATTTTTTAAAAATTAAAAAAAAAAAAAA